TCTTGAGGCCAGCTGTGTAGATGGTAGTATAAATGTCTCTTCTTTGCCCTCTATCTCGCACTGTGGCATTGTCATTAGCTCTCTTGATTGATTAACATGTGGTATGGAGGACGGGGTGGGGGGGGGGGGGGGTTGGTGTCCAGATCCCACACGAGATCTGATATCTGTTTCTCAAACGGCCTCGTAAAATGTGTACTAGACCTTTCTGGGAGCCATCTGAGAAGGATCACCAGTAATAAAATCAACTGATTATCACTACTCCCGTCTCATCCTACATTAAAAAGCTAGGACTTGTGAAGACCTAACAAGATACTTCCCAAGGCACCATCTGCCAGGGGACCTCTTTGTCAGTATCTCTGTACAATAGGAAGACATCCTAAATTTGCCGAATAAAACATTGGGGATGTATCACAACTCGCATTCAATGCATAAATGGCATAAGATGTAACCATGACGTTGATAAAGAAGATAAACTACTTGCCTCAAGTAACAGACGATTTTTCGCCCGTGGTGAATTGAACTTATGACGGTACACACATTTTAATAGACCAATGGGCACTCGATGAGTGATGTCACCTACATCACGAAGACCGCCTTTACTTTCTATGACATTACCTGGTACCCATTTTATTCTAGGTCGACCAGGGGGATAGAAGATACAAACATGATCATCTTCTTTAAGCGTTCACCGACTGTCAACTCCCGTGAAGGGCTCTGATTTTTCGTTCATTGGTAAGGGTGGCGTCCAAACCCACCAGGACCGCACAACGAACGATTAACACCGATGACACAAAGTGACACCAATCGGATGAGAGTCACCATGAACAAGTCCCATAAGCCCCGTTGAACCGTTAGATTATATTAGGGCCCCCGACAGCAGCCAGGGTGTGACTTCAATGTAAAAAAAAAAAAAAAATGTGTCCCATATTGAGACGGAGTTAATACACGTAAACTGAGTACATCAAGTAATAGACACTTTTACGTCAGTGGTGACTGACTGACTGGCTGACTTTCTACCCCACTAGGACATCACACAAGCGATAAACACCAGATGACACAATGTGCCACCATGTGGGTGAGGATTACCGTGTTCAGCCTCTAGGCCATATTTATGACCAGGCTATATTGCGGCCCCTGGCAAAAAGCCAGAGTAGGGCTTCAAATAACGAAAAATTTCATCCTAAAAAGGACGGAAAGTTACTGTACACGACGTCAGTGATGCATTGGGCTTAGGGCGGTAGCCATATTTTTAATAGGGCAATCAGCTCTTGATGGGGGATGTCGTCTACATAAAGCGGGCTACCTTTACCTCCTTGGAAATCACAAGGTGTCCGTTTTAGGCTTCGTCGACGTGGGATATGGAGAAGACAACAGGCTTATCGTTAACCGGTTGTGAACTCCGGCGGAAAGGTGTGGCTGTTCGTCGACTGCTGGTCTTTCACTTTGTTCCAGAATGTGAGTTTTACGTCCAGGCGCGTTTTTCAAATTTAGCTTACTTGTATGCAGACTGTTGGTTCCTCGCCGCTCAGGTAGTTGCTCACTGACTTGAAAGGGAAAACCTCTGGTTAGTCGCTTTATATGACATGCATCTTAATGGTCAATGAATTTTGCCCCCCCCCCCCCCACACCCCTCCCCCATCCAATGGAGCCAGCCATATTTCCCACACACGTGGAATAGAAGATGATTCGTGAAGGCAAATAATATACACAAGGGACGCAATTGTTTTATTATCAAGTTAACTGTGAAATGTTAGAGTTATCTAACGTAGTCATTGTTATGGAATACTTCGCCATTGGAGCCTGAACTCAGGGCCTCGTTAAGGTGCTCCACCCCTTTTCCCCCCACCTTTACTTTTTGGGGGAAAAGAATTCTCACTGTGTCCAAAAGTCTTTTAATAGTAGGGTGACTATAATATAGTGAGCTGAAAACAGGACATCACACTAATGTTTTAAGCTGTAAACGGGACATTCTTAGAGACAGTCCTCCCCCCCCCCCCCCAATAATTCTAGAATCTATTATTAATTTAAGAACAAATACATTTTATATATATATATATATATATATATATATATATATATATATATATATATATATATATATATATATATATATATATGGCTCTCCTGTCAACTATGGCCGGTAGACAACAGTAGACGGAAGGTTAGTCGGAGTTCTGTCCCCTGGCTACAGTGCAATTACGGAGTGGAAAAGGAGGGAACGAAACAATTGACACAATGACTGTGTGTTGGCAATAGACAGCGTGCACTGCCCTGCTAAAATCATACGGTTACGGTTTGGGTTAGGGTTTGGGTAAGGGTCAGAGCTAGGGTTTGGGTTAGGGTTAGGGTTGGGTTTGGGTTAGAGTTAGGGTTTGGGTTAGGTTTAGGGTTTGGGTTAGCGTTACGGTTAGTGTCGCCGCATCTCGTCTTTGCAGAAACTCAACGTCGCAACCCAAACCCTAACCTTAAACCCTAAACCTAACCCTAACCCTGACCGTACGATGACAGTAGGGCACTGCACGCTGTCTATCGCCAACACACAGTAATTATGTCACTTGTGTCCTGTCCTCCAATCCACTCCGTAATGCGTCGCAAGAAGCGGTAAGTGGACGCGGTCGCTAATTTGAGTCGCGCAGCGCGGGTTCTGTCAGACATGTCGACCTCACTTTGTTGTTTGATTCGCGCAGTCTCCTGCCCGTAATTGCACTGCAGCCAAGGGACAGAACTCCGACTAACCGGCCGTCTACTGTTGTCTACCGGCCGTAGTTTACAGGAGAGCCTATATTAATTTTTTTTAAAGCATGCTACAACGACATCAATATATTTCAAAAATGGTGAAAATATGGGGGTGACTGCAGTCAAGCTAATACAAGGAATTACAGAGAAATTTGACTTAAATTGTTTTTTAGTCAAATTTCTCTGGAATTCTCAGTATGTTTCAAGCATTAAACGTATCAAAAACTATGACATCTGATCAGTTCTACAGATATAACTATAAGTTCCATATAACTATATGTTCCATTCTCGAGCTTTATTCTAGATTTTTATAAAACGGGACAATTTACGGTTGTTGTTTTTTTAAAGGGACGACCAGGGCACACCTAAAAAAAGGGACTGTGAAAACGGGATGCGTGGTCACTTTGTAAAAAAAACGAAAATTCCAGTCAAAGGAATTTCAAAATAACAGCGTCCTCTTCTTCTTCTTCGCGTTCACCTGCAGTATTCTCCGGCGGAAAGTTCTGGTTGTTCGTCCACTTCTAGACTGCAGTCCTGTTTCGGAACCTGAGAGTTGCGTGTGCATCCGTTTGACAGATCTGACTAATTTGAATACAGCCCGTTGGTTTCTTGCCTCTCAGGCAGATGCACTTCGACTTCGAAGGAAGCTCCCAATAAGTCGACTCTTACGACATGCTTTTTGGGCAGGCAATTGGTCTTTTCTTGTTTTCCCTATATTAGGGCTCTGGAACCCACACGAGGTAACAGCAGCAGCAATAACAATCAAAATGAACTCTTAAATATATAACGTTCGCTGAAATCGGGTACATTGGAACCCTAGTCGGTTGCCATACAAACTATATTAAAAAAAATTACCTTATTCTGACTATTTTAAATTTTGATTTACTTGGTAATGAGCGCTGACACAAAGAAGACATTAATGGTGGGGAAGGAGCCTCGGTCCTCTTAAAAACTGGATAGAGGGGCTTCAGTCTCCTTAAACATGTTTTATGAAGGGGTCTAAGTAATTTTTAATAATGTTCAGTTTAGTCGACGTATCAACATCATGGCACACAGGTGTAAACTCATAAGTGCTCTGTACTTCTAACTGAAGCCGAGTCTGAAGAATCTCAGCGCAGTGCACGAACTCCATTGAACCGGCGAGTATCCTAAAATACTTTATGGGTAGATTTTTAACTCCAAATTTAACCAGGGCAGTGCCGTTAGGCTACTCTTTTGCAAAGTCCTTGATCAGATCCTTGGACTAATTTTATTATATAATACATCTGCTTCTAAAATTAATAAGATCCACCATGCCTTATTGTTCTTGAGTTACTGTACTTCAAGCAACATTGGGGGAGGGAGAACGGGGATGGGTAGTCGAAGAAGAGGAGGGCGAAAAAAAAACCTGAAATGACAACATCGAGAAATGGACAGACTAAGTTGTCATTCACTTATTCTTCAAGCGAAAGAAAGATGGCGGGTTTTATGAGCTAGTACATCCATCAATACACCTCTCCACGACCCTCACGGGTCAAGGGTTATGTTATGTTATTGTTCTGACGGGATTTCTTTTCTTTTTTTTTTTTTCTGTCGAGGAAAAAAAGATATTGAAAGTTTCAATGTGTCCCCTCCCTTTGTGATGTCCTAAAATGTACTTAGTATGCTTAACGATAAACCCAGCCCTGCGTAGTCTCCAAGTTTTTGATATATATAGATATATGAGTCAGTAGCGTTGCCACCATTACACAGTAACACTGTAAAATATTAGTACATCCGTATCCCGTATTCCGGGTAGTTTTCATGTTCAGTTACATTGCTGTAAAAGGAGTGAAACCGTGGGCGCATTCAGAATGCATCTTGAATATTTGCACAATGTGCAGACACTGTTTGGCTGACTTAATTCCTGTCAGGCGTCATAGGTCCCAACGGCGGGTTTATATACGGCTATAGTACTTGTTCCTGGTTAGATAGCAAAAACATAATGAATCAGTAATCTTTTAACGTTAACTTTAAATGGTATTTGTTTCTTGGAAGCAGAGACAGGCTTATAACAGGAAGCGAATGCATGTTATCTAATAAGTTAGTTATCATGTGAAGGAAATGATACCAGATTACCACCAGATTATTGGTTTCATTATTACATGACTTGGGACTGACACAATTACCCACTGGCGGTCACGATTATATATCGATTCTAAGTCCGTATTTTGTTTTGTATACAGTAAGTTGTATTCGCTTTTGTGGTATTGTTCATGGTATTTGTGCGATACTAAAAGAGCAAGATGATAGCAGAAGAGCAGCAGTCTTCAACGCCCGATGGGGACGATTTAATCCATGATCCTGCAGTTTTGGACGACGACCAGCCGGCCACGGTGAAAGAATATCAAGGGGCAACTTTACAGATAGGATCAGAGGACAATGTAGAAGATGATACGCCAGAGGTTCTCGTGTGCCAGCCGTCAGTGGGCAGTGGTTTGTCCAGGAGTCGACCGGGCAGCGTGATCGGTGGGAGTAGTGTCCGATCGACGGCTAGCAGGATTTCTATGAGACCTGGTCGTGTCCAGACAGAGGTCTCAGCACGATCCTTTTATTGTTATAAGGTAAGAGAGGTTAATATTCTAGTTCTTCATGTGCTAAGTCTGCAGTGGACATTTTTGAGCAGACTTAAGCAGCTTTTGCCATAAAAAATGTTTTTTATGATTAATGTTATTTTATTATTTAATTTTATAAATATATATGTATTGATTTTGAGCTTAAAGAACTCAGAGGGGGAGCTTTGGTTATATTGTTGGCTAACGGAAATTGCCAAAAGACCGCAAATTGCCGAACACCGTAGTCGCTACATTACGTCCTGCCCTACAAACATTTAAAAGCTGTAACTCAGGAAATATAAGGAATGGAAAGTATGAGGAAAATAAGGGAATTGTAGTACTTACCGATATTGAAATTCGCCGACTATAGTGCCACCTCCTAGAGTATCCCCCGCACCACTACGCGCGGCACGGAGGGGGCTAAACTAGATGGCTAGGACTCACAAGCAAATACTTTGGAGGAAGCTGCAGGAGGTGCGGTAGCTGCAGGAGGTGCGGTAGCTGCAGCTCATGAGTCCCAGCCATCTAGTTTACGCCCCTCCACGCCGCGCGTACCGTGCGGGGGATATTCTCGGAGGTGGCACTATAGTCGGAGAAAAGCGATCAGCAACTTACATATAACTCGGGCCCTGCCGTAGGATAGCGCTATCGGGAGTATTGTCGCGCGTCGGTAATTTTTTTCGTATGCAGCCGCCATCTAATCGCCGTAAAAAATCAGTTGCATTCCGCAGTTAATACTACTTATGACACGGTTGAATCGCCGCAAAAGAAATGCGACTTTTACATATGTGTGAGGCTCTGTTCTGGTTAACTGTCTGCGTTTGAGGCTCTGTTTGGTTCAACTTTCTGCGTAGTTCATTTAGAACCGTTATTCCAAGTAGAGCCTAATTGTTTATAGGTTATTTGCATCATATAAAATGGCGGCTCTCCTTCGAACTTCTACCCCATGTAATGGCGGCCAAACAAATACCCTAACAGGGCATCAGTCGTGTGTAAAATGGGGACTTTTTCCGACGAACGCATCGTAGCAAAACTAGGATTACTGGACAATGTCACGACATGCAACACTGCAGACTATAGTAGCAGTCGATAATAGCGACCGTTGACAATTTCGAGACACGCAACATTACAGATGATAATAGTGACATGGCCGGAAAACCATGCACTCTGACTCAGATTAAAGGTAGTGTGATCCAATTAAACTCACTGCCGAGCATATTCCTGCTTCGCTACGCACGGCACGGATGGGGATCTAAACTAAATGTCTGGGACTCACGAGCAAAAAATTGGAGGAAGTTGCAGGAGATGCAGTAGCTGCTGCTAATGAGTCCCAGCCATCTAGTTTAGCCCCCCCATCATATAATCGCAGAAACAGATCCGCAATTAACATATCGCTGATACCATGTTAGAGCGTTTGTTTCGTTATTCGGAGCCGATACTAGTTTTGCCGCGATTTGTTCCTCGGTAGGAACTCCAGATTTTGCTTAGGACTGAGGCCCTCTTAGGGTATTTGTTTGGCCGTTATAAAAGGGGTAGAAGTTCGAAGGAGAGCCAAAATGGCTTAACATTGCTCGCCACCAAGAAGCCATGAAACACTTTTTGCAGTGTGAAACCTAAATTCTGAGAAAAGTGTAAGAAAATAAGTATAATTTTATTGTTGTTAGGCACCAGATTATGATTTGCATCTACACCTTTCTCTATTTTTCTTTGCTTCACTCGCCTAGTGTTTTTTGCTTACATGAGGCAGATGTATGTCTTCCACCTGTCCTGTTGCATATTTGTGGCGATATTTTTCTTCCCCCTCAGAGTCACTCTGAAGAAATTTAACAAGCTAATTGCAAGGGAAAGACCAAACAAAATATGGAAAGACAGCATTGAGAGAAGCCTTACGATTATAGAAATGAAGATCACTTTATGCAACACTTGCGAAAGTCACACTGAGAAATCCTTACAGACTCTATTTCTATCCAACACTTCGATGACGTAACTCGTGCTTGAAGGTTGTTTTATTTACAGTAAATATATTCAGAATGATAATTTTTATTCTTGGTTGACAACGCTAGCAATAATTTGTTGTCCTCGCTCGCCGAGGTGACATTAGAGTTCAGCTATAAATAGATATACTGTTGATTTCTAGAAGTAGACTTTTAGTGTAAAGAATACATTTCTTTGCTACCTTCACCTCCACCTACTTAGCAGGCATCATATTCAACATTATGAAATACCTTCTTTTAGTTCATCATCACCGGCTGTCAATTTGGGTCAAAAGTTCTGGTTGTTTATCCATTTCTAGACTTTAGTCTTGTCCCAGAACTTGAGTATTATGTGCACATCCTTTTACAGATCTGGCTTATTTGTATGTAGACTGTTGGTTGCTCGACTCTTAGGCAGATGCATTCTGGCTTCAAAGGAAACACGTCTATTTAGTATCTTATCACATGAGTGTTGGGGACAGTGGGTCTCTTCCCCCCCCCCCCCCCCTCCATTCCCTCTCCCTTTCCCCCCATAAATGAGCACCCAACCCACACAGGGAATTATAATAATATAATTTGTATGTGAATGTGTCCATGATTATCATCTTTCCATTATATTTTGTGTTGATCAGTTGTGTCAGTGTGAATTTCATTTGGTCTTCAGGAAAGCCATTTTGAGAGAGCAGTAAATGATGTGAAGTCAATCATCAAACCGGAGCTGGATGGGGAGTTACGATCATCCTGGCTTTTGACAGAGTATGTCTGTGTTTTGATGCATGTACTTGATTTATGTTGGCATCTGTAGCTTAGGCGTTGCGAACGGGCTTCAAAATGTTTGGGTGCCGGGTTTGGCAGCAGACTGCCTTGCGTAAATTTTGAAGGTGGTATCAAGAGAGACGGCCGTTCAGAAAGCAATGTCAAACTACTGAACATAAATTTGCCTAGAAAAACCAAAACAGTTTTAAAATGTTGGGGTTGGTTCTGCAGTGTCCTGTAAAGGATACGCAACCAACTTGTTGTATAGGTTGAATGACTTGGTTTTATGACAACGACCTCAGACTGAAGGAGAAACTACACGCTTAATCTGAGTGTTGTAAAAGGCAACTGATTAGAGGTGTTTCTTTAACAGTTTTAGTGCATCTGCCTGAGAGATGAGGAACCAGCAAACTGTGAAATGGATGTGCATGCAAAGCTCAAGTTTTGGAACAAGACCAAAGTCCAAAAGGAAACAAACAAATAGAACTTTCTTGTGGAGTTACCAGTCGGTTGAAACAAAGAAGAAGAAGAAGCTTAACAATATCACAGTCACATATGCACACAGAAATGAATGTTGTGGCTAGAAACCTTCACCAGCATGTAAAACAAGGAGGAAATCAAACAATTACACACACACACACTAAAGATTTTAAAAAAATCTCTTTACAGTGAGGCATGTCACAAAATCTCCATCCATGCTTGAACACTAGAGGCCCTGTGTTTCTGTGACGTCATCGTTTTGTAGAATAGTAAAATTGTCTTTAAAAAATATTGATCATTAAATAGTTATTCATTTATGACAGCATTATTTATAGATTTTATTATGTTATGCACCATCATCATCATCATCATCATGTAGCAGGTCTTTTGCAGAACGTCGCTCTCATCACAATTTGCCTGAAAGAAACTCGGTCTCTCGCCAGTTCTCCTGCCTCATGCACTTTCACATTCAAGGAGTCACCTATATCCTGTGCCCATCTTCGTGTCAGTCGGCCCCTGATCGTCCTTCCTGGTACCATGCCTTCTGCTATAATTTTTTCCAATCCGTTGTGGCGCTTGATATTACCAAAATATTTCAGCTTTGGAGAAAGGATGCTGTTTATTAGCCAATCTTTCTTGATGTTCAGATCTTTTAAGATGTCAATATTTCTCATCTTCTTTGTCCAAGATATTCTGAGAATCTTTCTGTAATATTTCAGCTCAAAAGCCCCTATTCTCTTTCTCAAGGACTGAGAGATAGTCCACAACTCACATCCGTATGTAGCCACAGGGAATTCTATTTTTGATCTCCTTGCTGGTGCTTAACCATAGACTGTTCAATCTTTGCATTGCTATGGCCATCCTCCTTTTAATTTCTGTTAAGCACCAGATTAGCTAAATTCATGAAAACATGAATTGGCTTAATTCAGATCACATTCAGTGTCTCAATGATTTAGCTTAATTCAGATCATATTCAATGCCTGTGTGATTTTGTTTCACTTATAAATTTAATTCAGCATAAATATAATTTGAAGCATATTCATAATCATCATCATAAACCACTTCTGTCGTTAAGCATTGTGGGGAGGAATAATTTGCGATCCAGTGCACGTTGGCTGCCACTGGCTATTGTCATGCCGTGAAGGCATAGAGTGTCCTTAATATTGTGGATCCATATTTTCCGCGGCCGTCCTCTTGCTCTTGTAGCTGATCTTCTGAGATGTAGTGCTTGTGATGTTATTTGATTTTGCTGCATTCTAACGAGATAGGCAAACCACTTGATCTGCTGTTTCTCGATGAATCTAGTACAAGGTGTCTTTCCCACAATTTGCCTGATAGTTTCATTATTCACTCGATCTCGGATGGTTAGGTTGGCTAATTTTCTCAGGCACCTCATCTCGCGGTTGGTGATTTTGCGTATATGGGCTTTAGATAGTGTTCATGTTTGGCACTGGTAACCTTATGTAGGAATGAATATGCTATTAATAATCTGTCTCTGTGCACTCATAGTTATGCTTGGTTGTCTTAATAATGGTGACAATTGGAATATAAAGGCACTTCCTTTATGACATCTGGTTTCTATTTCTCTGTCAATTCTGCCATCTTCTGTGATCATACTTCCTAGATATTTAAACTCCCTAACTTGATTCAGAGCAGAACCATTCAGCTGTATGGGTAGTGGGGCAGGGGTTCTACTAACTTGCATTGTTTTGGTTTTGTCAACATTGATTTTTATGTTGTATTTACTGCATGCTGAGTTTAACCTGTTAATGTGGTCTTGCAGTCTGTCTTCTTCAGAGTAGAACGAGCACTGGTCATCAGCAAATAGTAGTTCATTTAATGTGGGTGAATCGATAACTTCTCCTGAGGTGTGCTTCCTCATGATTATAAAGGTCTATGTTGTCTGTATCAGAACTTGCTTCTTTAGATATTGTCTATATAAATGTTAAATAAAAGTGGGGAGAGCACACATCCCTGTCTCACACCTGTTTTGACTGTGAACATATCTGATATGCCTTCTTGTGTTCTTATTGCACTTTGGCTTGTGTGGTACATGGCTATGATGTTCTCTAGTAACTGTCCTTGTACCCCATAGTTCTCAAGAACAGACCACAGTTTGTTTCTTTCCACTCTATCAAAAGCCTTTTCTACAAACACAATATTCTTTTTGTTATTATACTCAATGATTTCTCACACGCTTGCCTCAGAGTGAATAATGCATCTGTGCATTCTCTGCTTTTTCTTAAACCAAATTGTGATGCATTCAGCCGTTGCTCAGCTATGGGTCTAACTCTCTGTTATAGTAATTTGGCGTACATTTTTCCTAAATGACTCAGTAGTGATATACCTCTGTATGCTTCACATTCTCTCCTTTTACCTTTCTTTTTTCCATAACGGTACTATTATTGCCTGTTTCCACTCAGCTGGGACTTTTCTTTCTTCCCAAACTATATTTAAAATTCTAGTAAGCCATTTAACACCCACTTCTCCGCATGCTTGGATTCCTTCTGTATTAATCATGTTTATAATGACAAGGTTAATCAAAAATACATTTCTGTTTCTGTAAATTGTTACCATTATTTTCTTTCTACACAGAATTGATCACTGGGACTTTGAGAGGGAGAAGATCATCCTCCTGACAGATAATTCCATGTTTGTTGTCAAATACAACTTCATCAATGAAAAGCTGTACGAGTATCGACGTATCATGCTTCATGTTATTCACTCCATATGTATCGGTGACTTCATATATCCGAATGCCTCTCTCATGCCGTAAGTTTTGTTAGCTGCTGTTTTGTCTGATTTGAACTATATTGAATAAATTTTCTTAACAATAAAATATGAAGTCTAAAATTACACTTTTAGAAAACATATAATGACTGTCTCTTATCAACATCAAGTGATTTGCTGACTGGTGTGTTTGGTGGTGGTGGTGGTGGGGGGGGGGGGGGGGTTGATCATTCCTCTGTACAGCCTGCGATCTCCAGCTGCATTTATCAGTTCATGTGCTGACACCCCTCCATGCCATGACAGAAGACTGTCAAGAATCGTTTTGTGTTTCTTCTGTCTCTTTTTGTACAAATCTTTCCAGTGGTCACAATGTTTTCCAGTTTCCCTCTTCTCATAAGATGATCAAAAAATTGATGACTGACTCCTTCTGATGTTTTATTTGTCTCATATATAGATATGTATAACATTAAGCTGGATGCATAAATGTCATGTACTTTTTGCATAAATGTTGTATACTTGTTGTATAAATGCCATAGGATTGTTGCATAAATGTCCTAAACATGTTCCATAAATGTCATATACCTTAAGCTTAGTCTTGGTCTAGGTTTCAACGTCACTGCAGTCGGGTTTCCCCATACTTGCTATGTTCCTGTGCCAGTGCAAATCAAATGAAATGTTACTGACTGTTACATTTGAAAAATTAGTAAATTGCTAGAAGTGTGAAAGCCAACAGCCGCCACCAGAAATGCAGTTTGTCATTGATGAAAGTAGTCGGGCACAATAAGTTTGCTGCTGTACACACATATTATTATTATTATGTAAGGTATTTCACCAGCTCACACATAAACTGACTACGACCATATTGAATACCATAACACAACCGCTGCACCATTGAAAGGTATTCAACATGAAAAGAAAAAAAAAGCAGCTCACAGGGCTGCACCAAGCACTAAACTCAGTAGCTCAGGCAGCGAAACCATAGACTACCATCCGTATGTGGAAACTGCATTAGCAGGGCGCTGTCGGAGGCAAAAATAACTTTGAAGATTAACAATCTCCACTTTAACCGGAAGTTACCAGCTGTCATATACCTGTTTAATAAATGTCATATACTTGCAGGGAACGCAAACACGGAGGCATCCAGATTCGGTTTGACCGAGGTGAGGAGCTGTCCTTTGGTCAGAAATGGAACCCTTGGTGTTCTGACATCCCTTGGGTAACCTTGTCTCACCACCCCCTCATTTACAACCCCAAGGAGACTGAGACCACTACATATAATGTGGATGAGTTCTTCGAAACCATTGTTGCAGAAACCAGTAAGGTATGTGGCTGTTTATTACAGATTTTATATATATATATATATATATATATATATATATATATATATATATATATATATATATATATATGGTGCCATCAGAATGGAAACTCCTTGCTGCTGAGGATGGGGACAAAGCGCTTATTGGGTGTCCCAATATTGATGTTGATTCTTAATTCAACATTCAATATATATATATATAGCATCATCATCATCAGGTAACAGGTCCTTTGCAGAACGTCGCTCTCATCACAGTCTGTCTGAAAGAAACTCGGTCTCTCGCCAGTTCTCCTGCCTCATATACTTTCATACTCAAGGAGTCACTTATATCCTGTGCCCATCTTCGTGTCGGTCGGCCCCTGCCCCTCCTTCCTGGTACCATGCCTTCTGCTATAGATGTAAGCGACTTCTTGGGCATGAAAGTGCATGATACTGGAGAGCTAGCGGCAGAGTTTCTCTCGGGCAGAGAGTGACGTACTACAAAGGATGTGCTACACAATATATGTGTATATGATATATGTATGTGTGGAATATATATATATATATATATATATATAATATATATATATATATATATATATATATATATATATATATATATATATATGTGTGTGTGTGTGTGTGTATATATATATCTATATGTATATATATATATATATATATATATATATATATATATATATATATATATATATATATATATATATATATATATATATATATATATATATATATATATATATATATATATATATATATATATATATATATATATACACACATACATACACACACAAGGTCCGACAATAAAGTAATGAGACTAGTTCCATAAAAATAAAAAATAAATTAACAGTTAAAGATATAACCTGTATTTTATTCAAAGTAAGCCCCTTGTGCATTAATAAAGCAAGTGGCACCATCTGACAAACACTCGAACATCCTCTGTAGATCTTCTGTTCTTATGGCCCTTAAAGTCGATGTTACGACCCTTTGGATGTAATCAATATCATCAAAGAAGCATCATTTCAATGGTAACTTTAATTTTGGGAATAGAAAATAATCACAGGGAAATAAATCTAGTGAGTAGAGTGGATGGTTGAGAACATGCACTTGTTTTGGGGCCAAAAATTCCTGTACAACTAACGCCCTTTGAGCCAGTGCATTGTCATGAAGAAGAAACATATTGCCAGGTTTTGAATACAAACCGGCAAGCAACTTTTTTCTTGCCCAAATCTTTCACTAACATTTTACAAATACTTCTGTTTTAACACCAAACTCATCTACCATCATTCTCAGAGTCTGACAACGATTTTCTTGTATCCGTTCTCGGGATTTTGCAACGAGTTCCTCATTACGAACAGAAATTGGACGTCCAGGTCTAGTTGCATTAGTAATCATTTCCACATCACTTTTGAATCGTGAATACCAGCTGAAAATCTGTGCACCAGATAAACATTTATCCCCATAAACTTGTCGCATCAATTTAACTGTTGCAATGGCACTTTTTTTTTCCATTTTAAACAGAATTTAATGTCCGCTTTTTTGCTCCATGCTGATTACGTTAACAAAATGGCGGCTTGTTTGTTGTCTGCTTATCGGACAGCGATGAAACGTTGCCAGATCATAGACAAAGATTGCCTCTTTAGATTCTATGATGTGAATCATAGATGGCATTTTTGTCTTAGCCAACATTACTTAATTGTCGGACCCTGTAGATATAGATATGCCTACACACACAAGCACACGCGCGCGCACATGCACGCACGCACACACACACACACACACACATATATATATATATATATATATATATATATATATATATATAAATATATATATATATATATACATATCCTTCTCTGTCTCTCTCACTCACTCACTCACTCACTCTCTCTCTCTGATGTTAGGGAAATTAGTTTTTAGGAAAAAACCATGGTCCTCAAAGTAAGGGTTAAGTCCGTAAACTGATTACATTTTTAAAATGTTCAAGTTTTGGGAATTATGTGGGGATAAGTAAACTAGAAGACTGCGACAACTGGTAGAGTTGGGGGGAAAAGAGTGGACAAAGACACAAGAATTTTATTTATATTTAAAAAATTACTGGCTTTTAGAATGCTGGATTCTCAGACAGGAGAGACCCTGTTTGAAATCCTCTGTAAGTTGGTGTATGTGTGTTTTTTTTCTTAATGGAGGCTTAAACAAACATCCTAACCTAAACAGTTTATGGGTGCTGCTCTTGCCTTGTGGTCCTAAATCTTTAGGATCAAGATATTACCCAGCCCCCTTCCCAGTCTTACACCCTCTTTAAAAGTGGTAAGTACTGGTGATAAACTCAGGTTTACAAGAAAATATTGTGTGGAGTGTACTAGATAATTGCCATTGTGATGTCGACCACATCACCCACTGAATGCCGATTGGCCTTTAACATTTAGATTAGCTTTGTAAGCCAAAATGTATGAAGGAGTGTCTTACGAAGCTGCAATTTTTGTGTGTGCTGTGCTAAAAGACACAGATGTCAGAGCAAACCACAACACAGTATGCTAACCACCCCTTGAAGGGTGAGCACAGAAGAAGAAGGAGAAATCAGTCAATCATCAGTGAGGGTGTTACTGCTGCATGGAGAGAATATATTTGTAATCTTTCTACGTGTTTGATCTGCAGGTGTTTACAGCCAAGCGTCCAAAAGACACTCTGAAGGTGATTGAGGGACCAATCAAGATTGAAACCTATGCTAGTCCAGTGTCTCTGGTCTTCAATCAAAGTGCAATTGGGTTTTTCCGGGACAGAAATGGAGTCAGCTTCTGAAGATCCAGGATTGTTGTTTGCAAATGTTCTTGATTGTGATATTTTTTAAGACTTTAATTATGGCTCTTTAATTCTTTTCACTGTTGCTCTAATGTCCTGTCATTTAGTCTGGTCTGCTGTTCTTTCTACCATTGGTTGTAGATTGCTTCTCTATCTATCCATCCATGGCTTGAATACTGTCATGTCTGTCCATCTCAAGCTCTAGGTTACTGTCCTGCCTAACCATCAAAAAATCTAAGATACTGTCCTGCCTTTTCATCAAAATCAATAGGATACTGTCCTGTCTGTCTTTCAGAAGATTTAGATACTGTCCTGTCTGTCTATCAGAAGTTGTAGATACTGTCCTGTCTGTCTCTCAAAAGCTCTATGATACTGTCCTGTCTGTCTATATCATCAGCTCTAGCATACTGTCCTTTCTATCCACTCTATAGCTATTCTGCAGATGATCACTGAGACAAGAAGATGAAAGACTGTCCATGTCATTTGTCAAGGCACTTGATAATGATGATGCGTAAACATAATTGCAGTACTTATGCTACATTTATTTCTAGACATTAAAAGGCATTTGGTCTGAAAAGGCTATCAAGGCATGAATGATGCCTGGAAAACATGACAGCTAGTGTCTTGGCTGGGATGTCTATCGAGAGTACCAGGTCCGACAATTAAGTAATAAGACTAATTCCATAAAAATTAAAATAATCAGTAGTTGAAGATAAAATTTGAATTTTTTTCAGAGAAAGCCCCACGAGTGGCACAATCTAACAAACACTGGAATGACCTCTGTAGTTCTTCTGTTTTATGGCCCTTCAAGTCGATATTACAGCCCTTTGAATGTCATCAGTATCCTCAAAGAAGAGTCCTTTCAATTGTAACTTTCATTTTAGGAATAGAAAATAATCACAGTAAGACAAATAGGGTGGATGATTGAGAACGCAGTTGTTTTTCAGCCAAAAATTTCTATTAACTACTGCCCGGTGAGGCGGTGCATTGTCGTCAAGAAGGAGAAAACTGCCAGGTGTTGAATACTCGGGTCAGACTCAGAGAATCCTTTTCAATAGACATTTCAAAATACTTAAATAAACTGTGGCTGTGACAATCTGCCACCATGGAATAAATTGTTTGTGAATAACTCGTTTGCTGTCGTAGAAGAACACAGTATTGTCTTCACTTACTTCTGAAGAGTTTTTTTTTTCCCTCTGGTGATGATGATGACTTCCACTGAGCACTTTGGCGTTTAGTTGTGGGATCAATGCGGAAAATCCATATTTCACCCTCTGCAACAAATTTAAGTAATGTTTATTTTTGTGACATGTTTTGATCATGTCTTTTGCATACTCAACACGCTGATGTTTTTGGTCATCAGAGAACAAATATGGTACAAACTGGCAAGCAACTTTTTTCTTTCCCAAATCTTCCACTAAAATTTTCCATATAATCTCTCTGTTAACACCAAATTCATCTGCCATCATTCTCACAGTCAAACAATGATCTTCTTATAGCCTTTATCTGACTTTTGCAATGAGTTCCTCATTATGAACAGAAACTGGGCATCTAGGTCTAGTTGCATTAGTAATCATTTCCATGTCACTTTTAAATCGTGAATACCACCTGAAAATGTGTGCACAAGATAAACCAGATAAAACTTGTCACATCAATTAAACTGCCTCAGTGGTGCTTTTTCTGAATTGTAAACATAATTTAATGTTAGCTTTTTGCTCCATGCTGATTACGTAACAACGTATCTCTGACTAGGTCAACAAAATGGCTGCTTGTTTGTTGTCTGCTTATCTGGCAGCGATGAAAAGTTGCCAGATCATAGATGAAGCTTGCCTCTTTGGATTCCATGCTTTGCTTCATAGATTCGTAGATTTTTGTCTCAGCAGTAAAAAAAAAATCAGTCTCATTACTTATTTGTCAGATCTTGTAAGTATTTGGCTGGCAGATGGAAGCAACCTAGCTCAGCATTCAGATCGGCTGTACTGCTGACAAAATTGAGTACAGAACATAGCACTTGATGATAATGAAATGCACTGTCCTGCATTGTTTACACTGTTGTCTGTCGTTCCTTGCCTACCCCAGATTGTAGAGAAAGGCTAGGCATGGACTTACATAGACACATACCGACCCCAACTCACAGTCAGGCACACACATACTACATTTGTCCATGTATAAGACAAAGCTTATGTTTTTTAGCCTCAAATTAAGAAATATTTAAAACACATTCCGTATATAAGGAATTTTAAACTTATATAGAAATTAGAAAGGAAATCAAAAAGGAGACATTTTAAGAGCATGCATCTTCCCTGTAATAACATACAGAAGTGAGTCATGGACTATCTCGTAATCCTTGAGAAAGAAAATAGGGGCTTTTGAGCTGAAATGCTATAGAAAGATTTTCAGAATATCATGAACAAAGAAAAGTAGAAATACTGATATTTTAAAAGATCTGAACATCAGGGCTTATAAACAGCATCATCTCAGAAGCTGAAATATTTTGGTCATATCAAGCGCAGTTGGGGATTGAAAAAAAAAAAACAATTAGTAAAAGGCATGGTACCAGGAAGGAGAGAGCAGCAGCTGACCAGCAGGAAAATGGACATAGGAAATCAGTGACTCCTTGAATGTGAAATTACATGAGGCGGGAGAGCTGATGGGAGACCACGTTTTTTTCAGGCAGACCATGATGAGTGTGACATTCTGCAAGAGACCTGCTACATGATGTTGATGATGACGGTCTTGATTCCCTATGCTGTATTTATTGATCTTCTTCTATGTCTTAGATGTAGAGGTAAATACAAACCTTCTGTCTTGAGCATGCAACACATACACACAGAATAAGTTGAAACTTTTGTGGATGGAACCAAACCCTAACCTGTCTCAGCTGTAGACAAGTGAGTTACATTTTGTAATTGTTGAGCCTAAATAATTATTTATGTTGAAATGAGAATATTGCATAATTATCCCTCATAACATTTACATTATTGATTCATACAATCTATAATATTTATATTTTTGGTTAATAAAAATTTAATTACAACCCTGCAGTTGAGATTGTATTTTTTTATTCCAGTTTAAAATATTATTTTGTCCTTTGTTTCCATCTCAGGGTAAATGTTTTTTTGTGGTCCAATATTCATTGTTGTATTGATGAAATGTTTTGTATATCATTTTTGTGATATAATTTGAGCTGTTGGGGTGGGTCAGATCCAAAAGTTCCAGCATGTAGCTTGAGATGTTGGGGTGGGTCAACCCCAAGAGTTCTAATGTGCTATGTTGAGATGGGTCAGACCCAAGAGTTTCAGTGTTAGCTTGAGATGTTGAGGTGGGTCAGACCCAAGAGTTTCAATCTTAGCTTGAGATGTTGGGGTGGGTCAGACCCAAGAGTTTCAGTGTTAGCTTGAGATGTTGAGATGGGTCAGACCCAAGAGTTTCAGTGTTAGCTTGAGATGTTGAAGTGGGTCAGACCCAAGAGTTTCAATGTTAGCTTGAGATGTTGGGGTGGGTCAGACCCAAGAGTTCCATTGTTAGCTTGAGATGTTGGGGTGGATCAACCCCAAGAGTTCTAATGTGCTATGTTGAGATGGGTCAGACCCAAGAGTTTCAGTGTTAGCTTGAGATCTTAGGGTGGGTCAGCCCCAAGAGTTCCATTGTTAGCTTGAGATGTTGTGGTGGGTCAGACCCAAGAGTTTCAGTGTTAGCTTGAGATGTTGGGGTGGATCAGACCCAAGAGTTCCATTGTTAGCTTGAGATGTTGTGGTGAGTCAGACCCAAGAGTTACAGTGTTAGCTTGAGACGTTGGGGTGGATCAGACCCAAGGATTCCAGCGTTAGCTTGAGATGTTGGGGTGGATTAGACCCAAGGGTTCCAGCGTTAGCTTGAGATGTTGGGGTGAATTAGACCCAAGAGCTCCAGTGTTAGCTTGAGGTGTTGGGGTGGATTAGACCCTAAAGTTCTAGTGTTAGCTTGAGGTGTTGGGGTGGATTAGACCCAAGAGTTCCAGTGTTAGCTTGAGGTGTTGGGGTGGATCAGACCCAAGAGTTCCAGTGTTAGCTTGAGATGTTGGGGTGGATTAGACCCAAGAGTTCCAGTGTTAGCTTGAGGTGGATCAGACCCAAGAGTTCCAGTGTTAGCTTGAGGTGTTGGGGTGGATCAGACCCAAGAGTTCCAGCTTATTACCTTGGGATGTTGGGTTCGGTCAGACCTAAGAGTTCCAGCTTATTAGCTTGAGATGTTGGGGTGGATCAGACCCAAAAGTTCCAGTGTTAGCTTGAGATGTTGGGGTGAGTCAGACCCAAGAGTTTCAGTGTTAGCTTGAGATGTTGGGGTAGATCAGACCCAAGAGTTCCAGTGTTAGCTTGAGATGTTGGGGTGGATCAGACCCAAAAGTTCCAGTGTTAGCTTGAGATGTTGGGGTGGATCAGACCCAAAAGTTCCAGTGTTAGCTTGAGATGTTGGGGTGGATCAGACCCAAAAGTTCCAGTGTTAGCTTGAGAGGTTGAGGTGGGTCAGACTTAAGAGTTCTAATGTTAGCTTGAGATATCCAGGTGGGGAGAAAGAACAGAATCACTGTCCCCTAATTAGCATGTTGCCACAGACACATAATGCAGCCTAGCTGTAAACCACATCACAAGATTCCAGCCACCATTTTAATGGCAAACACAAAAGAAGATCACTTTACCTATTTAAGTAGTAAATTTGATTGCCATAGGAAACACAAAGAAATAAATTATCATATACGCTGGGAAAAAAAGCATCAGCCACTTTTTTTTTTTTAAAGCCTAAAAAATAAATAGAACTCTATGTAGTTTTAAAACAAGTTAAAATTTTTTAAATGGTAACGTTTTAACGTACATTGGTCACAGTTGGAGAACCACTAAATGCATGGAATCAAAATTAATTGCAATCGAAAACAAATGCTCGATGAATTTGATGAGCGATTCCTAGGATGAATTAAAGAAAGTACAAAGAAATAAGAGAAATGTCTGGACAGTTGCTGGTGT